TAGCTGGTTTGAGCGTTGAGCTTCTGCGAAAACTTTGGAAGCCGTAAAATAGTCATAAACTCGGCTCGCCGAAGTGCACTACTATAGAGAAAATCCAGTAGTGTATATAGTATCCAGATCTGATTCGATTCAAATCCCCGATCCGGATTCTTTTCCATTTCTGATGATAAAAGCTAATGAAGCACTCTTTGCTTGAGTGTAAAAGCTTAAAGATGTGTTTAATAAAATGAGAGTTACTTTTAAAAAGTGGGGATAAGTGATGAGAAAAGGAAAAGGGAAAGGAAAAGGCAAAGAAAAGCCGTAAAGCTAAATTTCTTTGTGGTCATTAGCGGCTTTTTCTCGTGTAAGTAGAGGAGAGAGATTCGAGTGTGTGGTGTAAAAGAATGAAAAAAGAAGAGAAATAGAAAAAAGACGTAAACAAAATGAACAAAATTTTGTTTTTTTCTGATAGAATACTAATTAGTTAATGATTTCCAATAAAAAGAGACTAGGTTAATGCAAATGAAATTTCGCTTGGTATAAAATATTATTCGTTCCTAGGTATAAACGGATGTGGACTAGAATTTGGGTTAAGTTAAAGAGAGTGGGTCCCTTTTAATATCCCACCATCTCTAACACCCCGACAACCCAACTCAACTCCTCCAACGTATTAGAGGGGAGTCCCTGTGAAATGGCCGACCTGTACTGCAGTTGCATAGACCCGGAAGATATGTATCTTTATTTACAGTAGATAATAAGACGAATAGATTACAAATAAGTGTAAGGGGAAGGGGGGGGACTCCAAATGAGAGTCTCACTTGTCCCACAGTCTCACTTGTCCTCCTAGGCTCCTCACTGTCCTCCTAGGCTCCTCACTGTCCTTCTAGGCTCCTCACTGTCCTCCTAGGCTCCTCACTGTCCTCCTAGGCTCCTCACTGTCCTCCTAGGCTCCTCACTGTCCTCCTAGGCTCCTCACTGTCCTTCTAGGCTCATCACTGTCCTTCTAGGCTCCTCACTGTCCTTCTAGGCTCCTCACTGTCCTCCTAGGCAATCCCAAGGATCGCCCCTTCTCGGCAATAAAAGGGATCAGCACAGGGGAGGACACATTTGCATAAGAATAGACAAATCACTCAATAATAACAATAGTAACTAAAATATCAGTTTGGCTCGGAGCTGACAATATTCTATTTTCTTAATTTGATAAATCTTTATTAGAGACAATGATGGTGCTTATTTTTTTTTTTTGGAATAAATTGTTACCTAAAGAAATTTGAATTGAATTTAATGTTTGTAAAAAAAAGCGGAGTTTCATTTGCATCAACATAGTACAATGATTTCCAATAAAATTCATCACAATTTTTGAGTTAAAAGGAATTCAATGTGCTACAATCTGTCAAAAAATTCAATGTGCTACTTTGTGCTACAATCTGTCAAAAAATTATAGACGCACCCTGTTTTTTGCTAGTTTAGAGCCGGACATAAGGGCTAGTCCAGTGAAAAGTATTTTTTTTAGTTTTTTTTAATGTAAAAAACAACCCATGCAAAATTTCAAGTCATTTCACTCATCCAAAGTACTTTATCGTACAAAAAAACGTTTTATCAGCTGTCTTTTTGTCAAAAAATTATAGACGCACTTTTATTTTATCAAGAAAAAGTTAACAGAAATAAAAGTAACAACACAAACCAAATAAATTAATAATGTGTGACCTCTCCTTGCTTTAGTCCAACTTCAAAAAGACGTCTCGGCATCGAAGAGACAAGGTCTGGAGTGCTCTTGGCTGAAGCTTCAGGCTACTTGAATGGCTTTCTTGAGTTCAGTTACGCTCAAATATTGCTTGTTTCCGTTGTAGACATCTCGAACAACTGTCCCCCACACATTTGCAAAATGACACCCATGCAAATGACACCCATGCAAAATTTCAAGTCATTTCACTCATCCAAAGTACTTTATCGTACAAAAAAACGTTTTATCAGCTGTCAAAAAATTATAGACGCAACCTTAAATTTGATGATTTATTCTATCGATAATTGTTAGTTTTTTCTCATTTTTTTTTGCTTATTAGTTATGTTTATAAATGTTTTTTTCATTTTCAGATATGCCACTTGGAAACCAACTGGATGTGGTGGAAAAAACGCGTATCGATGCGCTCCACACGCTTGGTCACTCAAACAGGAACATTGCTCGTCGCATCGGACGTTCTGAGAGGTGTATCTCAAGACCAAAGTGACTCCTAAGAAGAAAGAAACACGGGGTCAGAAGAAAAGTTGACCGATCAAGACGAACGCGCAATTACGAGACGTCTTTCCAACATGACGACATCACTCGAAGAGGGTCGCAAGGAGATGAGGCTTTCGGTCACTCGCATTCCGGAAAAAGAAAAAAAATAACAATTATCGATAGAATAAATCATCAATTTTAAGGTTGCGTCTATAATTTTTTGACAGCTGATAAAACGTTTTTTTGTACGATAAAGTACTTTGGATGAGTGAAATGACTTGAAATTTTGCATGGGTGTCATTTGCATGGGTGTCATTTTGCAAATGTGTGGGGGACAGTTGTTCGAGATGTCTACAACGGAAACAAGCAATATTTGAGCGTAACTGAACTCAAGAAAACCATTCAAGTAGCCTGGAGCCGGCTTCAGCCAACAGCACTCCAGACCTTGTCTCTTCGATGCCGAGACGTCTTTTTGAAGTTGGACTAAAGCAAGGAGGGGCCACACATTATTCATTTATTTGGTTTTTGTTGTTACTTTTATTTCTGTTAACTTGTTCTTGATAAAATAAAAGTGCGTCTATAATTTTTTGACAGCTGATAAAACGTTTTTTTTGTACGATAAAGTACTTTGGATGAGTGAAATGACTTGAAATTTTGCATGGGTTGTTTTTTACATTAAAAAAACTTAAAAAAATACTTTTCACTGGACTAGCCTTTATGTCCGGCTCTAAACTAGCAAAAAACATGGTGCGTCTATAATTTTTTGACAGATTGTATGACTCAAAACATTCCTTTTTAGCCTACTACATTTTACTGTTTATATTTAGTATATTAATACTTCCTTCCTAACTTAATTTCACTAAAGAAAACTGAAAGTTTCAATGCATTAAAAACGGTGCGTTTAGCTTTAGAGAGCTCAAAGTATGCCAAAGAAAAGTTGTAAATAAAGCGTAAAGATTTGAAAAAGAACGGGGAAAAAAAGGAAAAGAAGTGGAAGAGATTGTGGCCAATTTTTACACCCTTTTTGTTCCTTAAGCGCTTCTCTCTAGCTCACAGAAGGGTAAGTGAATGAGTGAGTGAGTGAGAAGTGATTTGGAAAGGAAAGGAAAGAAAAGAAAAGGAAAGGAATAGAAAGGAAAGGAAAGGAAAGGAATAGAAAGGAAAGGAAAGGAAAGGAAAGGAAAGGAAAGGAATAGAAAGGAAAGAAAAGGAAAGGAATAGAAAGGAAAGGAAAATCTCGTAAAATAGACTTTTTCCAGTTATTCGATACACAAAAACACGAAAATTTTCTAATTTTTCAATAAATCATATCAAATTTCGGATTTTAGAGTTTTTTTGAGTTTTCTTGAGCATTTGATCAGCAGAGTTTTAAACTTTTTCTTGAAATTGATCACTTGAATACAGATTTTCAATATTTATTTATTGATCGATTCACCAAAGCCGGGCATGGTCTTCAGCACGAGGAACTTTGGAGGTGGATCATGTACATGGCATGGGGAGCCTTTTCGAGACGGTGAGCTGGTCGGCTTAGAGTTTATTTCGACCCGGATGACATCGCTTGATTATCAACAACTATTTATTGATCGATTCACCAAAGCCGGGCATGGTCTTTAGCACGAGGAACTTTGGAGGTGGATCATGTACGGCATGGGGAGCCTTTCGAGATGGTGAGCTGGTCGGCTTAGAGTTTATTTCGACCCGGATGACATCGCTTGATTATCAGCAACTTTTTCTCGAAATTGATCACTTGAATACAGGTTTTCAATATTTATTTATTGAAAACTGATGATTTATTGAAAACTGATGATTTATTGAAAAGATCAGTTTGAATTATTGAAAATATCAGTTTGAAAAACAACATAGGTTTGTGAAAAACTCAATTGCAATTCGATATTTATTGCAATTCGATATTTATTGCTTTTCATAAGAGTTTCTAGACAAACATCAACGCGAAAGCGAATCATTTTGAAAAAAAAAGTGACTTAAACTTGTTAAAGTAGATGTTTAATATATTTGTTTCTTTTTTAACATTAGATTTATAAAAAAACGAGCTTTAAATCTAGTGATCTATTGATTTTTTAAACTTTCGAGCTTGAATTACAGTTAAATTTCTAATTCTACATCAAATTTGTCATCTTTCATGGCTTTTTTTAGAGAAACTTTTGTTTAAAACAGAAAATTTATTAGAAAATTCCAATATGTTTCCAATACGGTTCCAATATGGTTTGAATATGGTTCCAATATGGTTCGGATACCGTTCCAATACGGTTTCAATATGGTTCCAATATGGTTCCAATATGGTTCGGATACCGTTCCAATACTGTTTCAATATGGTTCCAATATGGTTCGGATACCGTTCCAATACGGTTCCAATATGGTTCCAATATGGTTCGGATACCGTTCCAATATGGTTCCAATATGGTTCCAATACGGTTCCAATACGGTTCCAATATGGTTCCAATATGGTTCCAATATGGTTCCAATATGGTTCCAATACGGTTCCAATACGGTTCCAATATGGTTCCAATATGGTTCCAATACGGTTCCAATATGGTTCCAATATGGTTCCAATATGGTTCGGATACCGTTCCAATATGGTTCGGATACAGTTCCAATATGGTTTCAATATGGTTCCAATATGGTTCGGATACGGTTCCAATATGGTTCCATAGTTCCATAATTCTTTATGTTTTAGATCAGTTTATTATCAATTTATTATCAGTTTATTATCAATTTATTATCAATTTATTATCAATTTCTGATCAATCGCTGATCAATTTCTGATCAATTTCTGATCAATTTAGATAACTTTTGGTGGTAGAAGTCTTTCCAAAGCGAGCATCGCATTGCCGAACAATGGAACAATCATCATCAACTGAAAAAGATATTAGAAATCGTTGTCCATATCTGTCTTCAATCGTTTTCACTCACTTTATGTGGTAAGCGTTGATCCATCAGAAACATTTGCAAGACGATGATCTTTAAATCGTCACTTTCCGCTCGTTTTGCCATTGATAAAGCCAGTGTTGTCAGTTTTTCGTCTTTTTGTGCCCAAATCTGTTGATCGTATAGGAGAATTGTTGGTGCTTTGGCGATCTGAAATTGCTTTGGTGCTTTGGCGATCTGAAAGTCTCTTTCTTTTTCGTTTGTGGTTAATGAGCACAAAGTGTCAACGCTGTAGTGCTCAGCTATCAGTTTTTATTTTTCGATTAGACTGCTATTAGCAGTAGGACCAGCTGCGCTTGATATCAATCGTTGTATAAAATAAATTTTCTATCAAATGAAAGTAAATTGAAGATTTTACAAAGAAAAAAGGCTAGATTACGAACAAAATTCGTCGATTGTCAACGGGAAACGAAAGTAAAAAGTGATGGAGTTAACATGGTTGAGTTGAAAGGAGAGCTGAGCTTCCCGGTGGACATTCTTGGACATTCTTGAACATTCTTGGTCATTCTTGGCTATTCTTGACCATTCTTGACCTCTTTACGCCATTCTTTTTAACACTTTCTTCTTGGTTATTCAATGTTAAGCCGATTGTTTTTTGTGTTTAAACGGTACTCTACCTTCTTTTGCAATTTTTGTGGTACGAGTAGAAGGAGTACCATGATTCCACCAGCAATCACCATATATCCCACATTTAACCACGTAAATGCTGGCGACATTTCTTCTCGATGACCCATCAATAAGAAGATGCCATTCACCTAGAAGTATTGGTACGATATCGTTTTCCCCTCAAAGATTAGCATCTAATAGCATTTAGCAGACTTTAATAGCATTTAGTAGCATTTAAGAGACGTTTAAAAGCATCTAGCAGACTTTAATAGCATTTAGCAGACTTTACTATCATAAAGAGACATTTAAGAGCATTTAGCAGACTTTAATAGTATTTAAGAGACATTTAAAAGCATTTAGCAGACTTTACTATCATAAAGAGACGTTTAAAAGGATTTAGCAGACTTTAATATCATTTAAGAGACACTTAATATCATTTAAGAGACGTTTAATATCATTTGAGAGACGTTTAAAAGCATTTAGCAGACTTTACTATCATAAGGAGACATTTAAGAGCAATTTAATAGCATCTAGCAGACTTTAATAGCATCTAGCAGACTTTAATATCATCTAGCAGACATTTAATAGCATTTAGTAGACTTTAATAGCATTTAGTAGGCATTTAGCAGACTTTAATAGCATCTAGTCGATTTTAATTTAAGTGTCTGCCGATCTCTAAAGAAAGTTCAATGATTTACGGGATTCAAATGCATTTTGTCAATTCATTTTTATCATTTCTAGCAATAAATCTAACAAATAAACACAAAATAAAAGAATTTTCTTTGAAAAAAAACCTTTTTTAATGAGAAAAAGGTTATTGTTTTGCCTTTTTTTGAGGTTTTTAACACCAAATCCTAGCTAATTCCTGCAAAAAACTGCTCCAGTACAAAAACTACGCACAAAAAACTCTTTTATAAAGAATAATCCTTTAAAAAACCCTCTCTTCAACTCATCAAAAAGAATTGAAAGAAAATTTTGAATCAAACCTGCATGAGAATCCCGCCAACGAGACCGAATGATGTGAGTTTTCCGATATTTTTGTGAACATATTTGACCACACTCAGCACCTCTTGCTGTCTTGTGGAAAACGAGGTGAGTGTGACGATGTCCTAAAAGATTTTTGGTTCGATTTGTCGACTTTTTCTTTGTCGATTTGTCGTTTACCCCTAATTTTCCGATATCCGAAGCTTCAGCGAGGTCTTTATTGAAAGCTTTAAGCTTTCGGCTGACCGCGTGAATCGAGATTACATAAATTGCCAGCGAAATGCACAAGATGAGACCTGGAAAAGGGGAAAATTTAAGTGAAATCCCGAATTCCTGCATTTCAAGTACGAGTTGGCAAGTTTCCAAGCCGTGAATTCTAAAATGCACCTAAACTACCGTACTCGAGACGGCGTCGCCGACCATTCCATCAAAATTCATTCTTTTAAATTCATTTGTTGCCTAGTTTACCGCTTTTGGCGCGTTTTTCTTTGTTTATTATGTTTCCCTTTCTCTATTCGCTATAAGATTACCGTAAATACTGTAATAGTACCCCACCGCCCTCGTACAGTCGCGTAGTCGCAAAAGTTTTTTTAGTATTTCATTTTTTGCAAAGCACCCGTACTTTCAAAAAATGCGTCTTTGGTATCAAAAAATAGCTGAAATTCAGGGCTATTTTTTGATACCAAAGATAATGACGGTGCGGAGTGTTGCGTAGTCTAGCTTTGAACGCATTTTTCTCGACACTCGTTTAAGCTACAATGCTCGTTTAAATACAGTGGTCCACAAATGTATTGTCCCATTGCCATCCAAAAGTTTCTTTCGTATGAAAATCTTGCAAAATAACGATATTCCCAAAAAGTGTAGGGTATTTTGCTTACCCATAATACTCTACTTTTCAGGATTATAAGATTTATCCGTATACATTGCAGAAAAATTTAAGTATAAAACAAAAACAATAAGTTACTTAACAAATAGCTCCACAAAAGTAATGTCCCATTGATGTTTTCCTTGATTACTCTTTTTATTTCCGCGTTCTATGAACATTAAATGTATTTTATTTTATTATTTAGATGGCTGGCAAGAAAAACCTTGACACTCCGAATCGCCAAGGCCCGGGAAAATGGGATGCGGGGAAAGGATGTGGCCAACCTCTTTAATTGCTCGAGAAGGACGGTGTGCCGCATTCTTTCTCAATCAAAAGTCGACCGAAACCTTCATCGAGGCCTCAAGGGTGGCCGACGACCAATCACAACCACAAAAGAAGATCGAGCCGTGATCCAAATGGTGAAAAACGATCCTAACAAAACACCAACCGATGGAAGCCAAATGATGAGGGATCAATTTAACAGGGTTGTATCGCCGGAAACGATCAGATGACGATTAAATCAAGCTGGATTATATGCAAGAAGGGCTGCCCGTAAATCTCTGATAAAATCTAAGCACCGGAAGCAGCGCCTTGACTTTGCACGGACCTACCGAAGTTGGACGACACGTCTTTAGGCGAAAGTGCTATTTACCGATGAGACAAAAATCAATTTATTTCACGCGGATGGAAACCATCTTATTCGGCGACCGACTGGAAAGCGATACGCACTCAAGTACATTCGGCCTACCGTGAAATTCAACGGTGGAAACATAACGTGTTGGGGTAAGAACCTTTTTAGTATTTTGTCACCTGACTGTTTTTCTTTAGGAGCGATGTCACGAACTTCAGTAGGTCCATTAGTTCACGTCAACTCAACGATGGATGCTGTGGCCTACAAGAACATTATGGAGACTCAAATGCTTCCTTTTGCAACTCAAACCATGCCTCCTGGATGGATGCTCTACCAGGACAACGACCCGAAACACAAGTCGAGACTGATGATGGGACGGCTGGTGACACTTCAAAATGGTACCAGAGCTCGTCTGCCCGGATGGTTTGCGGCAAATCGTGTTAAATTGATCAATCCACCTCCCTACTCACCGGATCTCAATCCAATTGAACATTTGTGGTCATTTGTGAAGTCGCGCCTCAAGGGAAAGAAATTCGATTCGAAGGCCGCCTTATGGGTTCACATTCAACGTCTTTGGGCCACCATCCGCCCAAGTCTTTTGAAAAATCTCGTGGATTCCATGCCGGATCGACTCAATGAAGCGATAAAAGCAAAAGGAGGACCAGGCAAATATCAATTTTTTGGAAAAATTGTTAATTCTTTGCAAATGGGACATTACTTTTGTGGAGCTATTTGTTAAGTAACTTATTGTTTTTGTTTTATACTTAAATTTTTCTGCAATGTATACGGATAAATCTTATAATCCTGAAAAGTAGAGTATTATGGGTAAGCAAAATACCCTACACTTTTTGGGAATATCGTTATTTTGCAAGATTTTCATACGAAAGAAACTTTTGGATGGCAATGGGACAATACATTTGTGGACCACTGTATCAAAAAATAGCTGAAATTCAGGGCTATTTTTTGATATTTAAACGAGCATTGTAGCATAAACCAGTGTCGAGAAAAACTCGTTCAAAGCTAGACTACGCAACACTCCGCACCGTCATTATGGGGCTGGGGTACTATTACAGTATTTACGGTATGTTTATTGTTGAAATTTGTCTCCACGGTGCTATAGTAGTTGGGGGACAGTGTACATTCATCTCTATTGAGCCAAAGCGCACTAATTTTTGCTTCTACGGTTTTTAATGACCTAGATTCTTAATTTGCTATTTATTTTGGGGAAAAATTGGTCCAGTTTTTTTTAGAACCTCGGCGACTCACAATATAATGATACTCGGGAAAGATATTCAGTCGTGTTTGCCTGACTATTTGTTTGTTGAATTTATTGCATTTAACGGGCTTTGAGCTAGCTTTAGCTTTTAGTTTACAATCAACCGATCAACTCACCGACAAGCCCTCTCACGAGCGGCTCGGCACCCCAGAAATTCCCGAAGTTCAACTGGAGTTCACTGGAATGCCCAAGTGTTCAATGAAATTCATTTATCCACCCACCCAACCGTTCCATTTACTTCTCGAACCCAGATGAAATCCCTGCCCGAATGCGCTAAAATGCCCGTCAAACAAATGATCGAGAAGATGAACGCTTTGATGTGAGTTCTCGAGAAACTCTCTTCCGAACGGACTGGGCCCTGTAGTGTAAATGATTAGAAATCGGGGCTTTTGAAGATATTTTTTCACTGACTAACATCAGCCACTCTAAAGGTAATGTTTCCGGCTAGATCAAAGCAGGTCAAGCACGGCTGATAACCAGGCTAAGGCAAAACCAGATCAGACGCCAGGCTTGGACTTCTAGAATCTAAGCCAGACCAGACCTGACTTGGTAAGGTAGTTGAAAAATGGGTTATCGAACATTTGATATGCGTCCCGCCCCTTTTGCCATCGGGAATCTAACTTTGAGCTGAAATATCTTGGCGTTGGACTGTCTAATTTAAATATTTTTGATACCATTAGATACGCCAAGTCTTTCTCTATCGATTGGTATAAAAAAAATATTTAAATTGAACGACCCAACACAAAGAAATTTAAGCTCAAAGTTAGCCAATGGCAAGCGCGTTCCTTCGTTCCAATACGGTTCCCTTTAAGGTCCGAATACGGTTCCAATACGGTTCCAATACGGATCCAATACGGTTCTAATACGGTTCCTTTTAAGGTCCGAATACGGTTCCAATACGGTTCCAAAGGGACAGGGCAACGAACCTTCGTAAAAGGTTCGTTGCCCTGTCCCTTTGCCAGTGGCAATCTGACTTTGAGCTTAAATTTCTTGGTGTTGGGTCGTCCAATTTAAATAGTTTTTGTACCAATCGATAGAGAAAGACTTGGCGCATCTAATGATACCAAGAAGATTGAAATGGAATAGCCCAACACCAAGAAATTTCAGCTCAAAGTTGAATTGCCATTGGCAAAGGGACCAGGCATGTATAAAAGGTCCCACAATCGAAAAAATTAGTCCATTTACGTATATTCTCTTGCAGTCTAGCTATTCTCACCTCCTCTAATGCATCGAGTTTCTCGTGGAACACTCTAAAGTACTGTGCGTGTGTCCAAATGCCTAAACAGATAGCGGCAGCGATTGCGAACAGGAAAACCCCCGTTTCCATGTTCGATTCAGCCCAGATCACGGTGAATGCCTGGAAATTTGTTTCTTGCATAGTCAACGTCTTGCTGGCAAAAAAAACGACCGTAAATACTGTAATAGTACCCCACAGCCTATAATGACGGTGCGGAGTGTTGCGTAGTCTAGCTTTGAACGAGTTTTTCTCGACACTGGTTTATGCTACAGTGCTCGTTTAAATATCAAAAAATAGCCCTGAATTTCAGCTTTTATTTGATACTTAAACGAACACTGTAGCATAAACCAGTGTCGAGAAAAACGCGCTCAAAGCTATACTACGCGATGCTTCAACCGTCATTGTGGGGGTGGGGTACTATTACAGTATTTACGGTAAATCTTTAAGCTCACTTTAGCATCATTGCTCATAATATAGAAGAATTTGGCGAAGAAAACGACGAGCACAAGGACGAAGAGAAGCGTTGAGATGACGGCCCTGCCGGTGGCGCCGCGCTTTCGGCTTTCGGCCCAGCTGAGAAAAACTTTTTGCTAATTCTATTGCTAATTCTATTGCTATTTATTGCTTTTTTGCTTTTTTGCTTTCATTAAGTTTATTTTGAGATTTTTACCTAAAAATGGACTCCTGTAAATCGCATCCACTCAAACGGACCATTTGCTCGAATGGGCCAAACACGTGAACCCTCGGCCGGAATTTCCCGTCCATCATTGGGGATTCTAAAATATTGCAAAGTTAGCACTATTTTCGAGTCTTTTCGTGTCTTTTCGAGTCTTTTCGATACTTTTCTTTATGTTTTCCCCAATTTCCCCAATTTTTTGTGCATTTTGTGCATTTTAGCGCTTAACTCAGGATTTTTTTGTACATTTTAGCGATTAACTTGCTTAACTCGTTTAACTCGTTAAGCAACTCGCTTAAATTAAACAAAATTCACCTGGTGACTCCATTTCGTCAAATGTTTAAGGTGATTGAATGGAGAAAGCTTGTAATTAGTGCTTACAAAAAAAGCTAATAGATATAGATTGATTTATGAATAGATATTCTGTAAATTAAACAGTAAAACGGGTAGCTCTTTCTATTGAAAAGATCAATTTTAGTTCGAGAATCGTTAGATCTTTATCGAAGAGCGTTTTTTTTTTTTTTTTGATCGAACAGACACTCAAATATCTCAATTTTCTTTTGACTAACAAGTTTAAAAAACGATTTTTGAGTTTATAAAGGCAAATTTAGCTTGGATTGAAAAGAAATTTCGTAGAGAAGTTTGGTGATTTCTCAAAGACTAAATCTATTGGGTTGGTGAATTGAAAACTGCGGGCTATTGTCATATGTGACAGTTTGAGCACTTTCTTCAAAAGAAACCCATTTTGGTGTCAATGGAAAAGTTGTAGAGAATCAAAAAACAAGCCTATATCCAAATATTCAGAACGATTCAAAAACTGGTTTTCAAGAAATACCAAATTTACGAATTTTCACAGATGAAACGACGGAAAAGGAGGGGGGGGGGGGGGTTACGGTATCTGTCTGTCTTTCTGTCTGTCTTTCTGTCTGTCTTTCTGTCTGTCTTTCTGTCTGTCTTTCTGTCTGTCTTTCTGTCTGTCTTTCTGTCTGTCTTTCTGTCTGTCTTTCTGTCTGTCTTTCTGTCTGTCTTTCTGTCTGTCTTTCTGTCTGTCTTTCTGTCTGTCTTTCTGTATGTCTTTCTGTCTGTCTTTCTGTCTGTCTTTCTGTCTGTCTTTCTGTCTGTCTTTCTGCCTTACTGTACGGCTCTTTTTTTTCATTTTTTCAGCCGTATTTTGACCAATATTTGATTTTGCATGAATATTATATTTTAAGTTGTTTTTGGTGTCATTCGATGCGTTATTTCATCCTTCATCAAATGATCGTTAAAATAGTCGATATATTGGGTTGGTGAATTGAAAACTGCGGGCCATTGTCATATGTGACAGTTTGAGCACTTTCTTCAAAAGAAACCCATTTTGGTGTCAATGGAAAAGTTGTAGAGAACCAAAAATCAAGCTTATATCCAGGTTTCCAAAAAGATACACTTAGTAGTTTCGCTTAAAATTTGTGTGTTCTGTGTGTTCTTTATACGGCCGCGTAATCGCTCGTCGTCTGGCGTAGGGCTTTTACATAACCCCCTTCCCTCTGCATTTGCCAAACTAATCTGGCCGGCTTCGAATCCTCAAATTGGACATTGACTTCTCCTCAAATCAAGGCTAATCTCAATCTATTGGATACGAAAACTACTGGAGACGCAAAAATGGAGGACTGGAGATGTCCCAGTGTCCCGGTTTGGCCCAAGATGTCCCAGTGTCCCAGTTTGAGCTCCAGGTGTCCCAGTCTTCAAAAGAAACCCATTTTGGTGTCAATGTAAAAGTTGTAGAGAATCAAAAATCAAACTTATATCCAAATTTTCAGAATGATTCAAAAACTGGTTTTCAAGAAATGCCAAATTTACGAAACTTTCAAAAAACTTGCATTTTAAACGAAACTACTAAGTGTATCTTTTTGGAAATTTGGCTATAAGCCTAATTTTTGATTCTCTACAACTTTTCTATTGACACCAAAATGGGTTTCTTTTGAAGAAAGTGCCCAAACTGGGACCTCTCCAGTCCTATTTTAGTTCAAAGTTCCGCAGTTTTCAATTCACCAACCCAATAAATCTAAACTAATCCAATTCCTATCCTATAGCCTCGAAAAATCATTTTACTGACTTTTAAACAAAGCAAAAATCAAAAACATACCAAGTTTAAGCTTCATTTCAAAGAAAAACAATAAAGTTATCAAGATAAAGAAAACGATTGAGCACATGAGATGGCTTTAGGTGGAAATGGCGTTGATCTGGAGGGGAACAATGACTGGATTCGGAAGAGGAAAGAGGGAAAAAGAAGAGAAGAGAAATAACCAGTATTCACACATAAGCAAAAGGGGAACAAGGGGGGAAAGAGTCAGACAATATACTTACAGATACTTTAGAAGAAGTATCCGTGTATGCATTTATGAATGTGTTTGCGTTGAATTGGCAAAACTGTTTGCAGAAAAGCGACCAATTATCGAGTTTTTGATCATCTTTGTTCTTTAAGAGTTAAAATTTAGTTTTTTTGAAGTCAAAGATAAGTCAATTCTGACTATTAGTGATAAAAAAGCATGCAAAATGATTCTAGAAGCTTATTACAATATAAAAATGATTCTAGAGGCTTATTACAATATAAAAATGATTCTAGAAGCTTATTACAATACAAAGATGGCTCTAGAGGCTTATTACAATACAAAAATTGTTCTAGAAGCTCATTACAATATAAAAATGATTCTAGAGGCTTATTACAATATAAAAATGATTCTAGAAGCTTATTACAATATAAAAATGATTCTAGAGGCTTATTACAATACAAAAGTTGTTCTAGAAGCTCATTACAATACAGAAATTGTTCTAGAGGGTCACTACGATACAAAAGTTGTTCTAAAGGCTTACTACAATACAAAAGTTGTTCTAGAAGCTCATTACAATACAAAAATCATCCTAGAGGCTTATTACAATACAAAAATGATTCTAGAGACAATTTTTCGGACCAAGCTTAGGCTAGATTCTATCGGTTTTATTAATCTGACTACTAATACTAATCTCTTTCACTACTACTAATCTCTCGGATCCCTTTCAAACCCATCAAAATCCCTAGTAAACATTTGAAACAAAGATTCCCAAAAACTCACCGGGAATTTTGATCTCTCTCGACAACTCTTTCAGCGATCCTTCTCGAGTCACCGAGAAAAGATTCGACGTGTCGTAGTTGGTAGACATAAATGAGAAATGAGAGTGAAGAAGGGTTTAGTTTCGAATGTTTGAATGGATGGGCAAATCTGACAACAAGATTCGATTGACAAGTACAGTCAAAGTGGTAAACAGAGAGAAAATATAGAACCTTAATCTTTAGGCAATCGTTTTTACAATAGATACAATAGATAAAAGATGGGTGATAGGGTTTTGAGGTTGAAAAGATGATAAGGAATTTCCTAAACATTCAAATGTTTAGAAAATCAATAAGTTTAGGGGATTTAGAATGATTTAAAAGAAGAATGGTTTAAACAAAAAGAAAAGTGATTTAAACAAAAAGAAGAATGGTTTAAACAAAAAGAAGAATGATTTAAACAAAAAGAAGAATGGTTTAAACAAAAAGAAGAATGGTTTAAATCAAAAGAAGAATGGTTTAAATCAAAAGAAGAATGGTTTAAACAAAAAGAAGAATGGTTTAAATCAAAAGAAGAATGGTTTAAATCAAGAGAATGATTTAAAAAAGGAATGGTTTAAATCAAAAGAAGAATGGTTTAAATCAAAAGAAGAATGGTTTAAACAAAAAAAGGATGGTTTAAACCAAAAGAAGAATGGTTTTTACGAGTTAGAATAGAATAGAAATCGTTTCAGAGTTCAAGTTCGGTTAGAAATCGGTTTTTAAATCAATCAACGACACTAGATTTGCCTTTTGTCGTGTCGTTGTCGTGTTTTTGCCTACAAAACGGTTAAACGGTGCCTACAAAACGGTTAAACGTACTCTTTTTAGCGAGTAGAGTAGCTTTCCATTTTCAAAAGCAAAAAGCACAAAGCAAATTACAAGCTGCGTGACTGTTTGAGCTAAATGTCTTTGAGATCGGAAAGAAAAAAGTACAAAGAATCTTGAGAGATCTCTTTGAGACATTCTAGCACAAGAAATGACATCCTTTTTTTTTTCTTTTAGTCGGCCTTTTTTTCTAGAATGAGTCCACAAAAGGATGTGCAATAGAAAGAAAAAAAAATGGTTTTGTGTTGAAATCACTCAACATAATGCTTTAAAATTGATAAACAAGATAAATTCATTTAGAATTTACGCAAACGAGCAAACGAGTAAACGAGTAAACGCAAATTTTCTAACAAAGGAATGATAAGTGGGCAAGGTGGCCAAATGACATCACCAATGAACAGGATTTCCAAAGTTACCCCCCAAAATGATACAATCGAACAATCGAATTTTTACGAATCACTTCTTTATATGAGATTTCAAAAATCATCTTACTAACAATGTTAATAGTTTAAAAGTAAACATTTCTTTGAGAAGTAGCTTTAAAAAGATTTTCATTTGAAATGGAGACATTTGAAATGGAGATCAATCTAGAAAGAGCTTGATCTAAAAAGAGATTGATCTAGAAAGAGCTTGATCTAGAAAGAGCTTGATCTAAAAATAGCTTGATCTAGAAAGAGCTTGATCTAGAAAGAGATTGATCTAGAAAGAGATTGATCTAGAAAGAGATTGATCTAGAAAGAGCTTTATCTAGAAAGTGCTTGATCTAGAAAGTGCTTGATCTAGAAAGAGCTTGATCTAAAAATAGCTTGATCTAGAAAGAGATTGATCTAGAAAGTGCTTGATCTAGAAAAAGATTGATCTAGAAAGAGATTGATCTAGAAAGTGGTTGATCTAGAAAGAGCTTGATCTAAAAAGAGATTGATCTAGAAAGAGATTGATCTAGAAAGAGATTGATTAAGGTGAAAAGAAAATCAAGGTGTGAACTCAAAATGGAGATGATTTCCCTCGTATTCTAACCGACTCGGTCATCATTGCTCGTTGAAGACCATTTGGAAATATGCGTATAAAGTTAGGATGATTTTTCAAATCTCATACAAAACTCGCTTATAACTTTTGATATCCAAAAGGTTTATGGCCAAGTTGACAGACTATTAGTACAATTGAACAGT